TTGCTGTCAAGTCGATTCCGACTCATAGTGACCCCATAGGACAGAGCAGAACTGCCTCAGAGAATTTCCAAGAAGCAGCTGCTGGATTCAAACTGCTGACATTTTGGTTAGCAGTCAAGCTCTTAACCACTGCGCCACAAGGGCTCCGTGGCCAAAAAGCGTAAGATATTTACCATCTGGCCCTTTAGAAAAAAAGTTTGCTGATAGCTGGAACCAGTCTCCTTAAGCTCAAATCATGGTTTCTCCTCACATTTTATGATCTTGGGACATGATAGTACATACTTCACAGGTTGTTGTGAGGATTAAATGAATAAACAGAGTAAGTGCCTGGACCATAATTAGCACTCAGAAGGCGGCTGCTATTATTATTGTCATTATCTTCAACACCATTATACCCCTAAGGCTACATAAGAGAGAGAGAACCATTAGTTTGGGAATGTTGTAAGAAAGCAGCTTGGGATGGGCAGTCCATAAAGAGAAGGGGGTCATGATGCTTGTGAAGAGCGGAAGAAAAAAATACGTAAAAGGAAGAAAGTGAGAGAGAGTAATAATACTGCACACTTTGAAAACTTCTTTCATTTAGATAGGCATTAAATTCTAAATTATCTAAATAATACTATCTCCTTAACCCAAATGTAAAACCAGAATTTTTAAAACTTGCAAACAAAATTTATCCATAGTTAAGCAACGTGGCTAACAAATATATTTAAACATATTCAACGTCAAGCTATTGAAGTGATGATTAAAAATAAAATCACAAAATATGCTACCAAAAAGTCATTTCCTAAGAATGTTTAAATACCTTCTGCTGCTGCCTCCACTTGCTGGGTGAGCACGGGCATCAAAGCTGATCACTACGCCTCTTTGCTTCAGGTCGCTGAACTGTTTTTCCAGGTATCTGCAAAATCCCTAAAAAATACCCCATCCATTAAAGAAGTATATATGTTTTAACACATCATCTATACATATATAATACACAGAAGTTTTCTTACCTTCCAGGAAAGAACACTGTAGCACAGAGTAGGGGGGACCTCTCAGTAATTAAACAAACTAAACAGTAAGAACGTAACAACTCTATTATGTATCAGTCACTGTGCTGCACATTTTATATTATCTCTAACCCCAGATCAACTTTGCCAAGAAATTCCATTTTACAGATGGAAAAACTAAGGCTCAGGGAGGCTCAGTGACTTGCCTAGTTTCAGACACATAAGTAGCAGGGCTGAGGTTTGAATCCAAGTCTAGTTAGAGGTGGTTCAGTGCAGGGGTTAAAAGCACATAGCCTGGAGCTGGAATCCACAGGCCTGTACTGAATTCTGTCAACTATAAGGAAAGGACTCTGGACAAGTTCCTTAATCTTTCTGTAAATTAGGAGTAGAAACAGTCCTACCTCTAGGGCTTTTCTAAGGACTGTTGTTGCTGTTACCTGCTGTCGAGTTGGCTCCCGACTCGTGGGGTACCCATATACAATGGGATTAGACTGTTGTGATGCACAGGGTTTTTACTGACTGATTTTCAGAAGTAGATCTCCAGGCCTTTCTTCCTAGTCCGTCTTTGTCTGGAAACTCCACTGAAACATGTTCAGCATCACAGCAACATGCCAGCCTCCACTGACAGATAGGTGGTGGCTGTGCTTGAGGTGCATTGGCTGGGAATTGAACCTAGAATACCTGGATAGAAGGCGAGTATTCTACTGATCTACCACTGTCCTCCTTGTAAGGATCAAGTTAAAACATGCGAAGTGCTAAGAACCCAGAACCAAGTAAGTACACTATGTACGTGTTTGATGTTATTAACACGATTTTTATTGTTGTTTTCCCTCAGAGTCCATGCTCTTTCCTTTACGCTAGTTCTAAAACATCTGACTGAGGACAGGAAGGTGTTTTGGACATTTTTGCCTGTTCTGTAGTATCAGTAGGTCAAAGAAACTCAATACATTTTATAAGATTTTGACAATTAACTGATCTAAACCTCCTTCATTTGTTTTAATATTGTTTTCCAGCAGGTAGAGACCTTAATGAGGCCAGAATCAGTCTAATAGCAAGGCATAACGAATTATACAAATAAAAAC